GGAAAAAAAAAAAAAGGAAAAAATAAAAGTTTGTATTTTAAAAAAAAATCATAATGTATGAGTTCTGTTGTTGTTTTAAAAAAAAAAAAGTTTTGTATTTTAATTTAATTAAAAATGCTTCCCGGTGTATTAAACAATTTATATGGGAAAATGATTTGTCATAGGAGTAAAAAAAAAAATAAAAAAAAATAATAATATTTAGCCCCGAAAAAAGATATTTGGAAAAATGGGATCTTTTTTAAAAAAATAATAAAAATAATATTACCGCATTATATATTATTTTATTTATTTATTTATTTATTTATTTATTTATTTATTTTTTATTTATTTAGTATTCGGTTATTTTCATATTATAACACCTACAATTTGATAATACTTACATTCACCTTAATATATTTTTTTAATATTTATTTTATAATAAATATTATGATAAGGCGATACGTTACATAAAATTAATATGGAAATAATTTGGGACAAAAAAAAACTCTTTTTTTTTTTATCAAAAAAATTTTAAAAAAAAATTGAAAAGTTGAATTTTTTTTTTTTTTTCTTTTTTTTTTTATGCACAACATTCGCCTCCAGACGGACTAATAAATTTATGTGTATTTGTTCGTATAGGTGGATAGGTGCATAGAGCAAAGGTGAACACCAATTAGCAACGAATGAGACTATTTGCAACAGGTTTTCTGTTTCCTTTAGTGACGATGAGTTTGTTGTCAGTAGTTGATCACACATCTTTTTTTTATTAATTTATTTTAATAAAAAAAAAAATTTTATTTTACAATTATTTTATGTATCTTTTAATATAAATCAACTTTTTTGTGATCAATAAAGTTTTTTTATATTAATTAACACATTTATTAATTTATAAAATAAAAAAAAAAAAAAAAAAAATAAAAATAAAAAAAATATTTCTTTTTATTTTCGTTTTTTTTTTTGTTCGATTGCTGACCTGCCAATTCCATAAAAATCAATTTTAAAATTTCTAAATAAAAATAAATAAATAAAAAAAAACACTATTTTATTATTCTTTCGTATTTCTATTTAACTATTTTTTTTTTTTTCTTCTTTTCATATTCTATTTTTAATAAATATTTTTTGCATACCTTTATAGGTCTATATAGACCTAAAAAAAAAATTCCAAAAAAAAAAATTTTCAAAAAAAAAAAAAAAAAAAAAAAACAAATATAAAAATTAACTATAAAATAGCTTGTCATAAAAACAAAAAAAAAAATTTATAAAAAAGAAATATTAAACCAGTTTCTAATTAAATAATTTTTATTTTAATAAATAATAAATAACAAACAAATATAAAAATAATAATAAAATAATAAAAAAAATTTATTTTTTTTTAATTTAGTTTTTTTTTTTTTTTTTTTTCTCTCTTTTTTTTTTTTTTTTTCTTAAATATCTATATTTCCGTCATTTGTTTTTTATGGATCCTATAGAGTTTAATATGAGCCAAGAAGATTTATCAAATATTAGTAGCAATAATGGTAGTATAAATGGCTGTACAACAACAAATAATGGTGAAAAAGGGGTAGATAATTTAGAACACATCGTTCAACAATGTCAAGAAAAGATCGAAAATAATAACAACAATAACATCAGCAATGTTTTTGGTCAAGATTGTGGTGAAATAGATGAAATTATTAAAGAGAAGCTCGAAAAAATTACAAATAAAAATAAAGAAGAAAAAGAAGAGGAAATGAAACTAGAGGAAAAGGAGGCTAATTATATTAATGGTAACGAATTGAACGAAAATCAGCAGGAGCCATCATTATCTTCTTCAACAACTACATCATCACCACCTTCAGAGAATCAAGACTCATTAAAATCTGATGAGGCCCCAAAAAGAGAATTGCATAATAATGATATTAAAACGAATAATTATGATATTAATAATAATAATGCTAATAGCAATGATAATAATAATAATAATATTGATATTAATAATGATGTTAATAGTAATAATAATGATACTAATAATAATAATGATATCAATTTAAATGATAATATAAATAGTAATAGTAATAATAATAATAATAATAATAATTGTAATATAAAAGATGATAGTTATAAATTATTTAATTTTACAATTAATGTTACACCAAAAATTCATTTACCAAAAAATAAATCATTAACAATCGAAAATTTACAAAGTAAAACTCATCAAATAAACAGACAAAAATATAGTAGAAGAACTTTATTCTTATCAAAACGTTATAAAAGTATTAAAGGAGGGGGTGCATTAAAAAGAGATGAAGCAACAACATTTGGGGGATCAAGATTATTTGAAAGTTTATTTTCTAGCGGTGCAAGTTGTTCAAAAATATTAAGAGACTCTGTCAGAGTAGATTCAAAAGTTCCAAACGATACAATTGAAAGACTAGAGTCAACACAGGATCGTAGCCAAATAGAATTACAGCCATTAATTATAGAGGATGAGGATTTAGAGTCTAGCAGTGATGAAGAGAAATCCTATTCAAAGAGTTTACGTGAAAGAAAGACCTTGGAGGAATTAGAAAAGGGTATCAATAGACAATTGCGTGACAAAATTGACCAACTCAATATGAATAAGCAGTTTTTCGAGAGTAATTTAGGAAGAAAGAGGGTGACATTAACAAAAGAGCAACAAGAGGAACAACAATTTTTGGAATCAAATCTCTTTCAAAACACTCCAATACCAAAGGAATATGATAGCAAAGAATGTAACGATGGACCATACGATTTACTCTATTACACTATTCATCCATTGCGTGGTTTAGATAAACGTATCGATAGTACACTAACAAAAAGTGGTAAAAGAAAAACTTTAGAAGACCAATTAAAAGAAAGCGGTGTAGAGACTCCATCATTTAAAGTCATTGAAGATTTCCAACCTTATAATGTAGATATTGGAAGAAGATTTTTTTCAATATATAAATCTGGTGCATTATTATCGCATATTTCACATAATCCAAATGCTCAATCTTTAATCGGACGTCACCAAAATCATCATCTTCGTAACAATAACAATAGATCCAATAGAAACTACATTAATTCTCCACAAAGCACTCCAAATTTAAAACAATCATCGGTTTTCAATTCAAGACCAATTCCACTTACACCATTACAATCATCAACTAGCAATTCAAATATCAATGTAATTTCACTTTGGAATAAAGTAAATAGATTATTTCACCCAACACATTGGTCACGTGAAGAGATTATGATATTTGATGAAATGATTTATATTTATGGTTTTGATTGGACCGAAATTGCAAGAATACTTTGTGGAATAAAATCACCAATTCAAATGTATAAATTTTATTCAAAGCAACAACAACAACAACAACAGCAATTAAAGCCATTGGATGAACAACAAATATTAATTTTAAATCACGAGAAAGAGTTTTATGATGATTGGAATAGAATTTGTTTTTCATGTTTTTTAGAAAATTGTTGCAATAAGAAAGTTCCATCAAGAAATTTAGAAAAATTAAGAAAAGAATCAATTTATGAATCATTTGTAACTTGTGATGCTTGTGAATGTGCTTTCCATTTAGAATGTGCCGATCCACCTTTAACAAAAATTCCAGAATCTTGGTATTGCTCAAATGAATGCAGTTTATTTTCAAAATTGGTAAGTAAAATAAATTATAAATAATTATCTAATAATAATATTAATAATAAAAATTAAAAATAATATTAATATATTTTTATTTTATTTTTAGAAATGTGAAATTTGTATAAAAGAAGAGAGGGTTGAATCAATGGCATTATGTTTAACATGTAATAAAGGATATCATATTTTTTGTTTGGATCCACCACTCAAAGAGGTTCCAATTAATGATTGGGATTGCATTTCATGTTCAAAAGCTAAAATTCAAGATCAATCAAATAGAATGTCACTTTTACAAGAATTACCAAAATTAGAAAGATTTAATACAAATATTTTTGAAAGTCAAAACAATAATGATGATAATAGCACAATCGAAAATAATAATGATTTACTTTACAATAGCAGTATTACTTTTGACCAATCATCTGCATCAAACACACCAAATTTATCAATACCAATTTCAAGTGATGCTATATTTAAAGAAAAAGAGGTACCAAGTCAAATACCGAAACAAGAACAACCACAACAAGAGCAATCACAACAGCCACAACAAGAACAATCACAACAAGAGCAACTACATCAGGAACAATTACAACAAGAACCAAAAGAATTAGAACAAGATAAGGAAACAATAAACAAATCACAACCAATACAGGAGCAAGCAAAGGATCAGTTGAAAGATAAAATAATTGAAGATATTATTAAATCACCATTATTAATTAGTGAAAGTATGACTACAACTCCAATCATTAAAAATACTGGCATTGTTACAAGATCAAATAAAAATGAAGTTAATATTTCATCAGATTCGATTGTAGAGCCAACTACACCAACTATTAAATTCTCATCAAATAATATTCCTCAATCACCAAGTGCTTTGGGATCACCAACATTCTTTAGAAGATCAATTAATTCTCCTTTATTTAATTCATCCACACTTTTATCCTCCTCCTCCTCAAGCAATTTGTTGGCATTTTCAACCAATAGTATCGCACCTACTTCAACTTCATTAAATTCAATTGTACATATTTCAGGTTGCCCACATGGCCATAGCTGTAGTGAGGTGGTTAGTAATGATCCATTACCATCAAATGATACACAAGATAGTAATTTGATCCATGCTAGATATATTGCAAAAGAAGGTCATAAATTAGCATCATCATCAACACCAAAATCATTCATTACATTAAAGAAGCTTAGCGAGGTATGTTTAGGTTGTTTGGTCCAAGCTGGTTTATTCGAAGATTCACCATTCATTAATACTCAAGAGGTATATGACTATGTAGATACCATCCAAGGTGATGTAACCGAAGAGGAAATGGAGGTTGAATCAATCTTCTCTAGAAGAATCGATATAATTTTATCATCTGTTTTATTTGCAACACAATCAATGATCGAGGATCCAGTATTATCAAACCAAGAAGAATTTGAACAACAACAAGAAGAACAAATTTTAGAATTAGAGAATATAAAGAAGCAATTAAGAGAGCAAATTAAATTACAGGAAAAACAAAAACGTGGTCATAAAAATCCAAGAAAAGAAAAAGATAGGGACGTTTCATCATCATCATCACCATTATCACCATCACAACATCAACCAATAGAGTCCTCAATGAATACACCATTAATTTCAAGTGATACTTTAGCTACCAATAGTACTTCCGGAACTCCAGTTTTAACCCCAACACCTATTATTGCTAAAAGAGCATATAAAAAAAGATTACCAAAGGTATCATCATCACCAACTCCAGCTGTTCCTAATATTACACAGTCAACAACTCCTCACATTGCCTCAGATGACCCATCCAGTATCAATGCTACAACAATTTCCACATTAATTAAAGATTTAAATAGTTCCTCCAATGTAAATATGAATGTTGTGAAAGAGTCAGCATTTTTAAATCCAACCACTACAACTTCTACTACGACCATTTCATCCCCAGCCAAAGAATCAACACCAACTAAAAAAAGAACATTTGAAGAGTCACAGAAAAACTATCTACCTGTACCTATGCCACCACCATTGAGCGACGAAATTAAAGCCTCACTCGAAAGTGAAGTATTAAGTATTTCAACATATTACGATATTGTGGGTAAATATATAACAGCTCCATTGATTGAAGATAAGCCTTTAAAAAGATACAAGAGATCAAAGAAGTTTAGCACAAAGAGTAAAACAAATTCTGAGGATAGTGGTTTAGATGCATCAATTTTATCTAGTCTTAATACTGTATTATCTCAGAATCAACAATTACACCAACAACAAATAATACAACCAAAACCACAGTTACAGCAAACAATTCAACAACACTTACAAACTGCTCAGCAACTAACACCAACACCATTACAACAAGCATTTTCAAACTCTAGCAATTCAACAGCTGTGATAAATACCCCAATTCAAACTGCCATTCCAACCTTACAATCACTTACAGGTCAATTTACAAGCTCAAACCAACCAAATCCAGTATCAAGAAATTCACTACCACCATATTTAAATATATCATCTGTTATTTCAAGCATCCTTCCATTTTTACCCCCATCAATATCAGAAGGTAATACTGCGTCAATTCCTTTACTCCTTCCAACACAACCTAAAAAAGAACAAGCTACCAAAAAACCACCTAAAGCCCCAAGAAAGAAAAAGAATGAACAACCAATACAAAATAATAGTTCATACCTGATTACAACATCTACTACTTTAAACCAATCAAATGTTGAAAACAATATGGGTAATACAGTTAATGAAAATGCCCCGGTTTTAGGTGAGTCAAGATCATTGTTAACCAGTGCATCAGTTTCAGTCCCAATCCCAACCCCAATTCCAACCCCAATCCCAAGTAATACTACCAATAATATAGCTGGTAATAGTATGGTTGGCATCAGTATGATAAATAATATAGTTGATAATGTCTTTAAGAGTAATAATATAAATAATGTTAATGTTATTAATAATACAATGGATAATAGTAATATTAGTATTAATAATAGTAATAATAGTGTTAATAATAGTATCAATAATAATAATATTAATAATGGTGTTTATTGTAATAATGTTACTCAATTACCTTTAAATGATAGCGTTTCAATTGAAGGTTTTAAATCAAATAAAACCAAAGATTCAATTGGTGTTGCAAGAGGTAGAAGAGAAAGATTATCAAATACAGATACATCAAATACAAGTCGTTGGTGGATATTTTCAGGTAATCCAAAGATTAAGCAAGAATTAAATAAAATGGAGCCAAATCTCGAATTGGATTGGGTAGTGAGACAACATTCAGATAACATTAGAAAGGATGATAAAGTTTTCATTTGGATTTGTGGTAAGTTTGCAGGTATTTCAGCAACTGGAGTAATTTTAAATGATCCAGAACGTGTATCTGTTGATAGCTGTATAGAGCCAACACTTTACCAATCCAGCAAACCAAACCAACATCACACACTCCGTGTTCGTGTCGAAAAAACTCTCCCAGCTCTTTTACCAAAGAAATATCTTGTTGATAAGCCAGAATTATCAAATATGACAGTCATTCGTGCACCTTTAGCAACAAACTTTTGGGTTAACGATAACGAAGCTGACACACTTTTCAATATTGTGGAAGGTCTTATAAATGGTACATTGGAGATTCCAAGTCATTACTATGAACAACCAAACCCAATCCCAGGCAAAAAAGGAAGAAAACCAGGCTCAACAAATAAATCAACTAATATTGATACCAATCTTAATGCAGGGGATGATGACGAGCAAATAGGAGAGGGCGATGAAGAAGGAGGTAAAAAGAGAAGAAGGAGAAGAAAGAACTCTTTAGCAGAAAACTCTGAAAACTGTACAGTAGAAAATATAAATCAAAGAAATTGTTCAGAGTGTAATAGTTTAGATGAAAAAGAAAATATGATCACTTGCGATACATGTTGTTCTTATTATCACCCAAATTGTTTTTCTGAACCAATCGATAAAAGCATTTACTCATATTGGATCTGTTTCCGTTGTTGTATGAATGACGAGCAAATTTTAAATTGTAAATTGGTTATTGGCTGGTTAGAAATCAAATCAAAAATTAAAAAGCTATTATTCAAAAAATGTGAATCATTTTCATTTAATTTTAGAAAAAGTAAGTATTATGAAGCTATAATAATAGTAGTAATTTTTTTTAAATATTAATAATGTTTTTTATTTTTAATTAGGTTTAAATATAAATAATAGGGGAAATATTTTAAACAAATTGTTAAATTTCTCTATTCAAATAAATAGTTATAGAAATCAATTAACTAGATTAGTTAATCAAAGATACTATACATGGTACAGCTCGTTAAATAGTTCAAATCAATATCAATTATGTAATAGTTTAGCATCATCAACAGCAAATCATAATCCATCAGATGGTGGTGTTCCAGCAAGCTTTAATGCTTTTGAGTTAGATAGCAAGTTATTAAGAACAAGACCAAAGAGAAAAGATTCAACATTAACCACTTAAATAGGTTAATGAATTATAATTAATTTTTTTTTTAATAAAAGTTTTATATAAATATATATAAATTATTTACTTTATTACCTTATTTAAATTTAATAATTGGTAATAATTTAATTAAAAAAGCTTCATAAATTTTTTTCTAAAATACCCTTTTATTTAATATTTATTTCTTTGTTTGTTCCTTTGGTGGTTCCCATTCAACACCATATTTAGAAAGATCTCTATCACATCGCTTATTTAACTAAAAAAAATAAATAAAAACTATTAATATCGTTTTTATTGTTAATTAAAAATAATATATAAGTGCTTACCTCTTTAACCTGATCAATTAGTAATTTATCTCTCCAATTCCTGTATTGATTAATATTTGAATGTGGCAAAAGTTCAATTTTATTTTTTTCTGAATTGCTTTTTTCTTTAAAAAACTGTGAACAACCAAATAAAGGGTGTTTTTGATCTTTGAATAGCTCTTCAACAAAAAGGAAAATATCTTGATTATTTAGCATTGTATCGAAACATTCAACAATAGTTCCAAAAGAAGAAGAACTTGATTCCATATTTAAAATATACTTTAATAAAGAAATACCTAAAATTTTAAATTGGTTAATATACATTATAAAAGATTGATCTGAAAATTGCTCTTTATCAAGGGAATTTATATAGGTAATTTCCAAAAAGAGATCTTGAAACTCTTTTATTACTTTGACATAACCTTTGGACATTTTTTTTACTATACAACCCAATAAACCTGTTTTAATGAATTCACAATTAAATTCTTTGCATTTAAAAATATTTTTTGTTATTTTAATTAATAATGCATAAAAATTTTCGCCTGTTTAAAAAATAATTAATTAAAACACTATTTATATTATATGTTTGATATTTTAAAGTTTTAACTTACCAACAAGAATCGAAAATAATTTTGAGAGAATAGCAACTATATGCACACCTTCTTTTACTAACCATCCTACTTTAGATGCTAATGCTTTAACTACACTGGGTTTGGAGGTGATATAATAGAGAGAAATTAAGAAATTTTCTGTAGGTAATATTAGCTCTATAGAAACACTTTTATTTAAAACAATTGTTTTAAAAAATAACAAATGGACCATTATTCCATTTAGCTCTGAATACTAAGGTTTTTAAATCATTAGTATTAATTTTTTATTTTGTATAATAAATAAAAACTACTTACATAGTTTTCGAAATACCCATCATTATATGGAACCATTGTAAGATAGTTTGAAATGGTCGAAATCATTTTAATATCTGAAAACCTGTAGAGGTGGTCATCTGAATCATTGTCATCTTTTATAATACACATATTTAAAAAGGTTAAAATATATTCATTTATTTGAGTTTTAAATAAATTGTTTGATAAGTCCTGGTCCTAAATAAAAAAGTTAATAACAGTTTTTTTGGGGAAGTAAAATTCTTTAATAATTTTATATTACCTTTGATTTTTTTAATAATAAATATAATGAGTTAATAAATTCTTTTATTTCTTCATTAGAAAAGCTTCCTATTGAGGCTGCAACCAAAATTTTTAACTTTAAGTATTGCTCTAAATAGACCAAATATCTATTTATTTCAATTTTGGGTTCATCTTCGCTTTGAATAGTTTTTAAATTTGAATATAGTGTGAAAAGATGGCTGTATTCTCCGATAATTAGTTGTTTATTTGTTATGTCTATACTTTCATCAGTTTGATTTTCAATGGACTCTTCTTCCCCAATAATATTGGTGCTAAAATAATTGTGAAAGGTGTTATTTACAACGCTATAGTTCGCTTGGTCTCTTTCTAAATTGCTTTTTGAATAATTGGTTGATTTTTGTGAACTATTATCATTATCGTCATTTTGGTTTGAAAGGTTTTTTTCTTGGTCCAAGTAATTTGGCCAATTATTACTTTCTTCATCATGTAGATTTTTATTGAATGCTGAGTTAACAGAGAGATGGGCAGCTTCGCCATCATCTTCTAAAGGATTAGTATCTAATATTTGATGTCTTTTTATTGGTGTGTCATTTAAATTGAATGATCTCGAACTACCTTGATTGATTGGAGTGTGAGTATTACTGTCCATTAAAGGTGCACTATTTACAGATTTTTGGTTTTTTAATTTAATTAGTTCATTTAATGCCTTTTCACTTATAAACAACACATATTCACCAAAAGAATAGCTTGATGGATTGATATTTGCTGATTCTAAAATTGATTTAGTTTCTTTTAAAAAGCCTCCCCTTTCAACTAACAAATCTTGAAACTTTTCATTAAAACTAGTAAATTCTAATTTTTTAAATATTTTAGTTGGTAAATCCAATATGGAATAAACACCACCCAAATATAGCGACTCTTCTACCATTTCTTTATTATTGGCATTGGCATTAAGATTAAATACAAAAAACTTTGCCGAGCTTTCCAGGTTTAAAAGATTCATTTTACTCTATAAATAAAAATAAAATATTAGTAAATTAATAAAAAAACTATAAAATATATCAATTACCTTAAATAGTTGTAAATCTGTAAGATAATTATTGAATAATGAAGCCAAATTTGTTGAAAATGTTTTTGATGGTTCATACATTAAATTTTCATTATAGATATTTTTGCTGTATGAAGATTGAATCGTACCATCGTCATGATAAAAGATAAATAAATCCTCTTCTGATTTTGGTGTTTGTATGAATTGCGAAAAAACAATTTTATCTTTGACATTATTTAATTTCTTTAAATTGAGAACTGACAATAGACCATTTGTAGAATCCAATTCTTTAATTACTGATGAGTTATTGGGGTATTTTCCATAGATTCCTAAAGAACTTTCCATATGCCTATAAAATAAATCTTGCATAATATCATTAAAATAATTTGAGAGTAATGAATTTAAATTTAATGACTATATAAAAATGAATTTTATAAAAGTAAATAATTTGTTTGTTTTTTTTTGTTTTTTATAATTGATATTTACATTTTCTGAAATAAAGGATGGAATTTCCATGATTGATAATTTGAAAAAATGGTTTAATTCGAATGAACCAATTTTTAAATCATCTGAAATGTTTGAAAATTGTGAATTTATTGAATTTAAAAGTATATCAATAGATTGTAGCCTTAATAACTTTATTAAACAATCCTTTTTATTTTGAGCATCTTTTAAATTTAAAAATTTCTCGTTTGGACCATTATCGTTGAAATATAGATAGGATTTTAGTTCATCAAAACTGATTTCTGACTCTCCCCAAACACTTGGAATACTTTTTAAAACCCCATCATTTACATTTACAGAATTTTTGTTAAATTGCATTGTATTTAATAACTTTATAATATTATTATTGGTCTCTAAATATTTGAAATCCTTTGGGTCTATTATTGATTTCATTTCCTCATCAAAAAGCTGTAGATTGATTTCTCCTCCATGTGCCGACCTATCTTTTATCAGTATATCGAAATTAATAAATTTAATATGCTCATAACTTGAATCATAATAAACATTAACAATATTATTCTATTTTTGTTATATTCAAAAAAAAATAAAAAAAAAAAAAATTTTAAAAAAAAATATAATAAATTAATAAAAAATGAAAAAAAAAAAAAAAATATAAAAATAATAATAATAATAATAAATTACCATTGTTTTTTTATTTGAATCTGAAAAACAAACTGAAAGAATTTTATGAGACAATTTAAATTTAGAAACTAAATCATTCGATAATTTATTTACTTTTCCCAAAATATCCAATTTATATTTTAAATTTGTGTTGTTTAAACCCCTTAATATTAATATTTGATTTTGTTCTAAAAAAATTAAATGGTCAATATTCTTATCTTTAATTATAAATTAAAATTAAATATTTACTTTTTTCATTTTTTTCAAAGTGGTCACAAAAAATATCTCCCTCTAAATTATTATTACTATTATTAACATTAATATCAATGACATTACTATTATTTAATAGTAATGAAAAGGATTTTGATTTATTTTCTATTGGAAGTTCAAGAGTAATATTTTTTTTATTTTTTATATAATTATTATAAATAAAATTTGCAACACAGTTTGATGATAATTTTTTTTCGAAAATTTTTGTTGATAGCTCTTTTTCTATAACCATTATTTTACTAAACCTATAATATTAATATTATCACTATAAAAAATTATAAAATAAAAAATAAAAAAAACATTTGGGAGGAATATGTTTAAATGACAAAGTTCAAAAGTTCATAAATGACAAAGTTCAAAAAATTTAAAAAAATAAAAAAATCAGAAAAAACCTGCAACAAATATTTTTTTTTTTATTTAAATTATATTTAATTTATTACTTTTTTTGAAACAATATTATTTTTTTAAATATTTACATATAATATTGTTTAAGATATAATTATTTATGTTGATTTTTTTTTTTTTATTTTTTTTTTTATTTTTTTTTTTTTATTATATAGTTTTATATTTTGGATTAAAGTTTAATCTACGCCTAATGAAAAATCTTTCATTTTTTCTTGGGTTTCCCTTTGTTCTGATTTTGGTGAGTTCTTTTTACTTTCTTCTACCATTCTATTATAATCTTCTTTAAGCTCACTTACCGTTTTAACTTCATTACGCTTAAGAATGTGTTGATAAATTGGTTTGTTGTCAAAGTTTTCACCATGTTTATACTCGTTCTTTTTATGGTACTTTCTATGTTTAAAGTAATCTGTTTTTATACCTGGAGCATCGCCATTGTGGCCATGAGATGAAGCTACTTGGTATTTAAATTCTTTTTGATTCTTTAACTCTTCGCCAACCTTGGTTGCATGATAATATGGATAGCTCTTTAAATTGTATTGAGTATAATTTCTACCAGTCTCTACTTTTGTTGTAGAGGTTTCAAATATTCTATTAGTGGATGAAAGTACTCTATTTGAAAGGGTTCCTGTTGATGCTACATAAGCTTTAATGGTCTTGCTGACCATTTGTAATTCTGTATTAAATTGACTCTAAAATTTAATAAAATTAATATATTAATATCATACTATAAAACCAATAACAGATAAATAAAAAAATAAAAATAAAAAAAAATTATTAAAAAATTACCATTTCTACATGAATATTATGTTCAAATATATATATAAATATTGTAGTTTGATTTGAAAATGAAAAAAATGAAATAAAAAAAAATTATTTAACACTTTTTTTTTTTTGAACAATAAATGAAAATTAAATTAATAAAAAAAAAAATAAAAAAAAATAAAATTAATATTTAAATTAATTTTTTTTTTATTTTTTTAAAATAATAATTTTTGACTTAAATAGGAAAGGAAAGAGAAACAATTATTTGAAGATTATTTTTGAATAAAAAAAAAAAAACTTTTAAATTCCTTTTTTAGAGATTTCATTTTGATTTTTTAAAAAAACAATGATCCATGTCATAATTTCCCAAAAAAACAAATGTAAGAAAAGAAGTATTTCTTAAATGACGAATAGATAAAACTAATTTATTTAATATATAGGACCCTATATATGGAATTTAATAATAATAAAAAAATAAAAAAACACATACACTCTTTTACTAGTTTGAGATTTATATAAATTTATTTCCCAACATTTATAAAATAAATTTTATCTTGGGAAATAAATTTTATTTAAACCGAATGACAAAATAATATTGTGATACCCGCAGCTGCATATTTAATTAATTGGTTTTCTAAATAATAGTAATTTCTGTGAATTTTTTTTAAAAAAAAAAAAAATAAAAAGATAAAAGATTATAAGATTGTTTTTTTATTATTAAATATATTATTATATTACTATTTTAATATTACTTTATTTTTTTATTGTTTTTTTTTTTATTTTTTTTTAATTGTTTATTATTTAAAAAAAATATTCATTTATTATTATTATTATTATTATTATATCATATTATTTAATTTTATTTTTATAATGGTAATTTAAATGAAACATCTAATTCGGCAGCTTCGGCCAATGAAACAATTTGAGCGATTCTTACAGATTTTTTGGCAGCTTCATCGAGATCATCGGCTGCAATAATACGAAGACCAGATTCTTCCATAATTTTCTTTGCGCTTTCTACATTAGTACCTTGAAGACGAACGACTAATGGTGTTTTAATGGAGAGTTCTTTAACGGCTGCGATAATACCTAAAGCAATGATATCACATTTCATGATACCACCGAAAATGTTTACTAAAATTGATTTAACATTTGGATCGCTACTGATTAATTTAATGGCTTCTTGAACTTGCTTTTGAGTAGCACCACCACCAACATCTAAAAAGTTGGCTGGTGAACCACCATAAAGTTTAATGATATCCATAGTGGCCATAGCTAAACCAGCACCATTAACTAAACAACCAATGTTACCTTCTAAACCAATATAATTTAAATCATATTCTGCTGCTTTAACTTCACGTGGGTCTTCTTGTGATTTATCTCTTAATGCAAAGATTTCTTTATGACGGAATGATGAATTGTCATCAAAATTTAATTTAGCGTCCATACATAAAACTTCACCTGATGCTGTTTCTGCGAATGGATTAATTTCAACAAGAGTACAATCGTTTTTAATAAAAAAGTCATATAATTTTTTCATTTGATCTTGAGCCTAAAAAAAATATTATATTTGGTGGGGTTTTGTTGATTTAAATTTAGATTTTGATATATTTAAATTGAATAGTAATAAAAAAAAAAAAAATATATTAATATTAATCCTGGTTGATTTTTTTTTTTTTTTTTTTTTTTTTTTTTTCACATAAATTAATTAATATTTACCTTTTCAATGTTTTTCTTTGAGAAACCTAATTTTTCGGCTAAACGAGCAGTTTGTTCTGGTTTAACACCAATATTAATATCGATTGGTTCTTTGAAGATTGCTGATGGAGTGTCACGAGCAACAGCTTCAATATCGACACCACCTTGTGGTGAAGCAACCATAACTGGACCACCAGCTTTACGATCCATAAGAATGGCGAAATACATTTCTTTACGTAAAAAGTGACGTTCAGTGATATATACTTGATGAACTACTTTACCATCTGGACCAGTTTGTTTAGTTACAAGAGTGTGACCAATCATTTGTTTAGCATAATTTTTAATTTCTTCTGGTGAACTACATAAGTGAACACCACCTTTAAGACCACTTGTAAAAATACCTTTACCTCTACCACCTGCAAGAATTTGAGCCTTGACAACTAAATCTTGAGTACCAAGAACTTCAGCAATCTTTTCAGCTTCTTCTGGTGTATCGGCAACATTACCTTTTGGGCAATCGATACCAAAAGCCTTCATCATTTTTTGGGCTTGATATTCGTGAACATTTAAAAATCTCTTGGTGTAAACCAATGAGTTGGTGGTGGATTTGACACCACTAACTTTTCTAACTAAACTGGTAAACATTTTTCCTCGTTTTTATTATTTTTTTTGTAAATTTAAAAAAAATAATAAATAATTTGTATTTGAAAAAATATAGAAAAAAAATCAAAAAAAATATTTTAAAAAAAAAAAAAAAAATATTTTTTTTAAAAAAAAAAAAAAATTTAATTTTTTTTAAAAAAAATAGTGATGCCATGAAACCAAAAAAAAAATTATATTTTTTATTTTTTTCTAAGCCTATTATAATTAATTTTAATTAATTAATTAATATTTTGGTAAAAAAATAAAATAAAAAAAAAAAATTATTATAAATATTTTTGATCACAAATATAGATAAACAAATAATAATCGTTGAAATAAATTCATATGATTTTAATTGAAAATTTTTAAAACAGTATGATTTTTTTTACCCCCACAATTTTTTTTTAAATCTTTTTTTTTTCAAACGAAAATCTTTCGCCAAATTATTCGTTAATTTATATATTTGTTTATATGTATTAATATTCATTAATTTAAATTAAATTCAATATGTAATTGTCATTTTCACTTAATTAAGGAAATAACAATGTAAATATTTATTTTAATACCACCAAAACACACTATTTTAAAAAAATATTTTTTAATTTATTTTTTAAATTTATTTTTAAAAGGGGGAATCAAAAAAAAAAAAAGAAAAAAAAAAAAAATTCATTCACACAGATTTAATATTTTAATTATTGTGATAACATTAAATAGATAGATAAATATATATAAATATAAATAAAACTATAATAAAAACATATTCCTATCCCAAAAATATTAAAAAAAAAATTAAAAAAAAATTAAAAAATCAAAAAATCAAATTTTTTTATTTTTTTTTTTCAAATTATTAAATTTTTAATAAAACTATTTATTTATATTTTAATACAAAACAAATATAATGTTCAGTATAAGAAGACCAAGCGAATCAGATATCAAGCAGTATATTAGCGATAGGAGAGAGGAGCAATTTCAGTATAGCAACCTTTATGGTACACAGGATTACGCAGAAAAACACGAATATGAATTAGATCCAAAATACAGCCAGTTCGATGTCGATCAAGTTAAAGTGAAGCTAGGAACAGGTCAAGAGTGTTTTCAAAAGGCAGTAGAGGCATTAAAGAAATGGAAGCAATTCGATTTGGGATGGGTACATTTATATTTTAACAATACACCAATAGCAGTAGGAGAAACTGTTGGAGTTCTTTCAAGACAATTTGGTTTTTGGATTTTATCATTCTGTAGAATTAATTTTGTGTATGATGGTTCACAAGAAGATGGTTCAGTAAAATACGGTTTTTCATATGGCACTTTAAAGGATCACGTTGAAAGAGGTGAAGAAAGATTTGTAATTGAATGGGTACGTGATCCAGATTCATCTTTAGATAAAGGTGATGTCTATTTCGAAATGTTATCTTTTTCAGAACCAAACTATTGGTTATCTCAATTAGGTTACCCAGTTACAAGATATTTCCAAAGTCGTTTTTCAATTGATGCATGCAATTCAATGTTAAGAAGTGTTGGTGCACCAGGTGTAGTAAAAAATATATAGAAAAGCAAATATATAAAATATAAAAATCATAAATAACAATAGTCATATAATAATAACTAAAAATAAAACATAGTAATAAATATAACTTTTTTTTTTGAAGGTTATTTTTTTTTAATTTATATTTTCTAAATCTTTTTTTTTTTTTTATATTAAATTTATTTAATGATACGATTACTACTAATACAACTATTTGATTTAAAAAATATTTGGCTTTTGATATTAAATATATAGTTTTTTTTTCTTTTTTTTTTTTTTTTTTTCCTTTTCTTTTTTTTTTTGAACAATAGTTTCGAAAAATTATAAATTAATCAAACCTGTTTATCTATTATTACTATTATATATTGATTTTGTTATTATTATTATTATTATTATTATTATTACTTGGTTAATTATAAATAAATAAATAAATAAATTAAAATTTATTTTGGTTCTAATGCTACTGATAATTCATATAACTCTTTTTCATCTAATATTGGGAAATTTAATAAGAAAGTATTTAATGGTTCTTCTGGTTGGAAAGTATATGGTGTTTCTTGGAATCTACTAAGATCAGCCCAAGCTTGATAAAGTAGTTCTCTCTTTTTGAAATTAATTAGTGGACTATTATTGTTTGATCCACTGTCAGATGGTAAATGATCGGTATTACCTTCCTCAATAAATGTTACATCAGTTAAATTAAAACCTCTATAAAAAAAGAAAATAATATTAATTAGTAAGGATGAAAATAGAATGGTTAAAGTGTTTCTGTTTTTTTAAAACTTACAAATATGGAATACATGGTAAAGTTACAGTTGTTAAATGATCTCTATAGTTTTTAAATGATTTTTTTGAAGAGAATAATCTTTCTAATTCATTAAGGAAAGCTTCGGAAGAAGATGATAGCTTCTTTTTAGTTTTCTTTAATCTATGAACACATGTAAGATTTAAACCAGCATTTAAACCCATTAAAGTATTAAAGTTATTCATCTTTAACAAGTATTTACCAATTTCGCAAAACTTTTCAAATATTTTAATTCTTTTTTCTTTTTTTGGTTCCATTAAAATTACATATGCAACCCAAAATGAAAACTATAAATAGTTAGAAAAAAAGAGTATTAATATATGCATATTGTATAAAATGATATTATTATTTTACTTACTTGAGTTGACTTTGAAATCATTCTCATAATATTTGGTGATTTATATTTTAATTTGGGTTTATTAAAGTTTTGATTTAATAATTCTCTTGCTTCTATATCTTTGAAAATTGAAAAATCTATTAAGGTTAATTGTTGGGCTATTGATTGAGCGCTCCATTCAGAGAATAACTCTATTGGTGAAAGGATAGAATCCTCTTCAAAAGTAATTCTTGGTGGCATTTGGAATAATAATTCGAATTTAACTTCTCTTTCTTGAATTACTTTATCTAAAAGACCACGAAGTAATCTTGCTAATTCAGAGTAGCCATCGGTAGAGTTTGCTAAAGTGTTTATAAAGAAATAAATTTGGTCAATGACATCTTGGTCAAAATCTGATGATTGATTTTCGATCCAATATTTTAATACCACAATAACCCTTTGTTGAATTGTGCTAATCTTTTGGGGATTGGTGCTATACCATTCTGGTACGTAGAATCTTTCGACTAATTTGTTGAATAATATACCTGGTGAAGCGAATGATTGATAGGTTGTAATAAATGTTTTTAAAAACTTTACATCATAGTTTGTTTCCGATGTCAACATCATAACTAATTGATTAAGGGTGGCTTTGAGGATACCACCATCTTTTGGTATTGTAGGAACGGTTTTATAGGCCTTTAATTCGTCCCAAATGTTAATGGTGTCAGCTGTAGATGGTGAACGAATTCTATTTGCTGTGCTAGTTGCAAATGAAGGATCTTTACGTAAATTTGAAATGGTGGAGCAAACATTACAATAGGTAACAGTTGCACCCAATAGTTTTGACATTGAACGAAGAAGCTCTCTAGTTAAACATGACAATTGTACAACGATTTTCTCTGGTTCAGATGCTTTGTTTCTGGACATCCAGTCAATCTCCAAACTAGCTTGCAAACCTAAAACTCTAACACTTGTACTAATATGAGCAATTGCAGAGATTAAATTCTTTTTTAGGGCCAAAAGATTATGAATACCGGAAATCTCTTTAACGTCGTCGAGATTGAACCATTGATTTTCAACTTTTCCTGAAAAGAATTCAGCTGTTTGAGGACCTTTTCCTAGCTTATGTGTAATTTGTGTAATGAATTTTTGACCTGGATGGTTTGATGATTGACCAGTTAAAATGAATAAAACTTGAAGATGTTCAAAAATCTTTAATAAAGATTGATTAAGTTGTGCATTATTTGAACTTTCTGGTGTGACAACTTGTTCGTTTACTAAATCTAAAAAGTTTAATGTTTCATCCTCAAGGTTTTCTGCGATGTTTTGAAGACCTTCAACGTTTTGAAGTGATACTGCCAAACCATCTTTTCTACCTAATGTTTTCTTTTGTTGATCAGAGATACTAGTACTATGTCTAACTCTAATTGATCTTCTACCCGATGCTGTTTTTAAGAAACTATCTGAGCTACTACCAGTTCTAATATTAATAGTAGTAGTGGTTGTTGTAGTTGTGGTAATAATATTTTGAATTTTATTTGAGGGTGGTGTTTGTGTTGGTACATTTTGTTGTTGTGGTGGTTGTTGTGTGGTGGTTGGTGGTTGGTTAAATAAATCTGTCAAGTGTGAAGCTGATGCTGAGTTTATACTGCCCCCACTTGAATTTAAAACATTGCCATTTTCGGATGGTGATGATGATAAAGGTGTTAAATTTAATGTTGGGGAATGTCCATTGACTGCATTCTTAAACTCAATACCAAGACTACCTGATAATCTTGATGTCATTAATGTTGGTGGTGGTGGTGGAAGTGCTGAAAAATCAAAAGCTGGTATTGATCCAATTGAATTAACATCTGAAAATGTAACAGTTGTTGTTGGTAATGGTGGTAATGGTAAATCTTCTAAAGAAATACCATTTGCCAATTGCTGTAATGAGTCAATTGATATAGAATTTGAAATTGATATTGATTTTTCTGATAAATTTTCTAAATAAATAAAATAAAACCAATTAATATATGGGTGGGTATAAATCATGATTTAATCAATAACATACCTGGTGGTGGTGGTAATAAAAGACTTTCATTTAAATTATTTTGATTGGGGCTGTTGCTACTGCTAACACCGTTTGAATTTGGTGTGGCTTGGGGTATTGGTGGTTTTGCTGCATTTGACTGATTTATTGGTCGTCCTAAACCTCTTTGACTTTGTAATGTTTCAATGCATTGTGTAAAGCAATTATAAAATTTATCAACTTCTGGTTTGTATGCAAAATTAACCCCTATAAAATCTGTTTGTGAATTTTGTGATGAAACTTGTTTAATTTCCAAAAATAAATCACTACATTTTGTTATTGAACTATTGGTTCTAACCCATTTATTAAAAATGCACTGTTATTAAATAAATTAAATAATTAAATTCAATAAGTATATAAATTTAATATATATTAATATCACCTATATTGGTTCCTTACTTTGCTATCTGTGGCTATCGCAACCATTCTAAATTTAGAATCAGCTACACTTTTTAATATTTCCAATCTACATAATGAATCATCTAAGTTTGTCCAAGTATTTCCAGCCTTTTGACATAAAATTGCTGTAACACCTATTAATGATACCTCTCTAAAATAAAATTAAAATCAGTTAGTTTTGATTGAACAAACGTCATATTCCGATGATAAACCATTGTTTATAATACTTACCCCATTGTTTATATATAAAAAAGAGGGAGTCCTGTTTAATATATAAAATTTAATATATTTTATTTATATATTTGTGAAAATTGGATGGTTGCTTTTAAAAAGAAATTAATAAATTAATATAATATTTTAGTTTTATATATATAACTATTAAAAAAAAAAAGGAAAAAAAAAATAAAAAGATATTTGTGGTGGTAATTATTTATTTATTGGAACTTTTTTTTTTGTGTGTATGTGAAAAGATAAATGGAATTGAGTTTTTGCGCAAAAATTTGTGGACTTTTTTTTTTTTTTTTTTGTATATTATTTTTAATTTTATTTTATTTTTTTATTTTATTAAAAAAAAGTTGGTTTTTTTTTTAAAATAGCTTATTTTTAATAATTATTTTTTTTTATTTTAAAATCTTTTGTTAAAAAAATCTTTTTTTTATACCAACAATAAATAAAACAATAATCATAAAAAAAAAAAAATTACATATACTTTATTATGGGTGGGAGTGCACAATTTGATTATTAAGCGTGATTTTACCACATTGAAAAATTAAAAAAAAAAATAAAAAATTAAAAAAATAAAAAAAAACATGTTGTATTGATTTATATAAAATAATATTATTGGGGCTATAGAAGGTGTGTCATATTTTTGAATTTGGAATAAAGCATACTTTGCTTTTTTACAAACAAACCTTGTGTATACAACTATGATTTTTATTTATCTTGAAAAATAAAAACAAATAATACAAAAACAAGATTATATTGATTTATATTATTAATAAATGAATTAAAAATTAATTTATATGATTGTGAATGATTTTTTTCTTTTTGTTTCTTACAATAAATCTTATGAGGGATGGACATATAATATATATTTTAATTTATATATTATTTTAAAAAATAAATAAAATTTTAAAGGTGAGCAAAAAAAAATAAAAAAATAAAGAAAAATTATATAGTTTTCTAAATTATTTTTTTTATAATTTTAATTATATGAAATAGTTTTTTGAATAAAAAAAACAAAAAAAAAAAAAATTAATGTAAAAATTTATCGATTTTTTTTTTTTTAATGGAAAAGTTTATAAAAAATAAATGATGAAAATAAAGATAAAAATATAAAAACAAAAGTAATATATTAAATAATAATTGTAAGAGTAGTAAAAAAAAGATAACAAAATAAGTTGGTGAAAAAAAAAAAAAAATTAAAAAAAAAAAAAAAAAAAAATTTTTAAAAAAAGAACACAATCTGAAGATTGATTACCACTACTCTTAATCACACCAATATCCCTCTTTAAATAAAATTATTACACATAACCACATAATTTAATACACATAATCCAATAATTTGACAACTATGGTGATTTGTTTTTCATCAAAAGTTAAACCTTTCACCATTTTTTAAAATATAATATTAAAATTTAATGTGTTTCTTTTTTTATCCACATACTTTTTTTTTATTTTATTGTTGAGCTTTTTTTTTTTTCTAAAAATGATTTTATACCTCCAAAAATAATGATATTAATAATAGATTTATTTCTAAAATGTTTTAAACTATAATAATTGTTTTTATTTTAGATGATATAACAGATGAAGATCAAGTTAATTGTTAATCAAAATAAAGGATGGGGCGTTATTTTGATTATTATTTTGATTATTATTATTGTTATTATTATTTTATTATTATTGTTTTACTTTATGTTGACAATTAATGATTTTACTATTATTTTCTAATATTATTATTTCTATAAATTTATATCTAAAATTTAAATGAAATAAAGGTAATATGATATGATACAATTTGTATAAATACAGCAAAAAAAAAAAAAAAATAAAACAATTGCATGCATATAAAAATATATTTATTTTTTTATAAAAAAAGGGGGTAAAATAAAAAATAAAATATAAAAAAAATAAATGAGCAAATTTTCTTACAATAAAAAAGAAATTTTGTATATATGAGATACTTTATTTAGAGTGAAATTGGATTATAAAGAAATAGGTTTATTTATATTATTTTTTTATATTTATATCTATTAAATTTATATTATTTATATGAATGTGTTATAAAATAAGTTAAGTTATTTGAAGAGATAAATCTAATTTAAGTCTGTGTTTGGTTTTCACTTTTA